TGAGTATAAATATGTACTGCTTTGAATGGTTTATTGAAGATAAGTATGTACACAAACAAACTATAACAAGAGTGGTACGGTAAAGAACTACTCCTATATGAGTAGTAAAGCACTGACACGAACGATAGGTAGCACAGCGAATATCGATATGTACTGTCCGCAGTTTTTTAAGATTCCGAAGTGTGGAACAACCATAATAGATGATTGCCTGAATTCATAAGCGACAGCGATTTTGTCGAATTGTAAGGCGGTTGCCCAAGTAGTGGCGGGTAAGTGAGTCGCCACATAGTTTTATTGCCAGATCTCAAGATTCAATGAATTCCTGCTGATTGAAATGAAACATAACAATCGAAAGAAATAAAAACGGTAGTTAGTTACAACAATATTTAAATGGCAACGAATAATAATAGCCACTAATCGTTCCACCACATAAACTGTCAATTCTTCTAAACGTCTGAAATAATGTAATGACAATAAAAAAATGCGAGATTGAACTATAAAATTAGTTTTAATTAGCCATCTTCATCATCAGCCTGCGGCAGTCCACTGCTGGACATGGGCCTCCCCCAAAGCTCGCCACTGAACCCGATCTTCGGTTCTACGCATCCAATTACTGCCAGCTGCCTTGCGCAGGTCGTTGCTCCATCTAGCAGGAGGGCTTCCTACACTACGTTTGCCGGTTCGCGGTCTCCACTCCAGAATACGTCTACCCCAACGGTTATCGGTTCTGCGACATATGTGACCAGCCCACTGCCACTTCAGCTTACTAACTCTGCCATACTCGCCCGCTTCGCTGGGCATTTAAAATTACCATTATTATTTATTGTCATTATTATTAGGAAGTCCAACGCTCATATAAATATTAGCCTATCCATTAAGTACACGTATTTTCTACATCAGCGGTCGGGGAACCGGGGTAAATTACCCCAAATGTAAAATGATGGTGGTAAAATTAAATTTCGGGGGGTAAAAATGAAACTTTTGTGAGTAAAAAGTATATATTGAAGTAAAACTTCTTTAGAATCGTTAAATTTTTAGTTATTGTTCTTTTCAGAATTATCATGGGGGCTATAATAATATGAAAGATGCTAAAAAGAAGCGATTTTCTTTTTTTTCTTTTGTTCTTCGCCATGGGGTAATATCAACTTACACAAAAATATTTTGGGGTAATAATTAAAAAAGTTCCCCGACCGCTGTTCTACATGGATACCAAGTTTCAAGTCAATCGGATGCATGGTTCAGTAGTTATAACGGAACATCCGTAAAAACCACTGTAGATTTATATATTAGTATAGATTATAAAGAAACTTAAGCAATTTAGCACGTAATAAAAACACATACACGTCATTTTATGGTACGTACAGTAAAACTAATTCACGTATCCATACATCCTACACTAACCGAAGCCACTGAATATAATAAATAATATTTTATGCATTAAATTTCACACGCTCGAACTGAGTTTTTACGCGTTTCTCGTGTTTGCAATTTTACAGTCGCCGTAAAATAAAAATTGCTTTGAACAAAACGAAATGAATCTTTTTCGTCTTTGTTGCGATAGAAGAATGGAGCTTTTAAAACCTCAAGCACCGGTCACTGTCCTCGTCGAAACTCGTCAATTACGACGAAGAGTTCGACGAACTAACCCATAGATAGACACACAGCCCACTGAGTTTCTCGCCGTGAGTTTCTGATCTACTCAGTGGGTCGTGATTCCGATCCGGTGGTAGATTCTGCTCTTGCTAGGGCTAGTGTTAGCAAATTCTATCGGCTCGTGAGCTCACCTAACCCGTTCGGGCGTATCTGGAACAGCCTCTTAGGCTACCAGTGAATAGATAAGGGAAAAGATCGACAACACCTGGTGTTAAGTGGCTACGGGAGCCCATATACATCTACAACGTAAATGCGCCACCCACCTTGAGATATGAGTTCTAAGGTCTCAATACAATGAGCTGCTCCACCCTTCAAACCGAAACGCATTACTGCTTCACCACGGCAGAAATAGTCAGGGTGGTGTTAACTACCCGTACGGACTCACAATTACCATACCACCATTAATTACGCAAATTATAATTTTGCGGGTTTGATTTTTATTACACGATGTTATTCCTTCATCGTGATAGTCAATCGTGAACATTTGTTGAGTACGTATTTCATTAGAAAAATTGGTACCCGCCTGCGGGATTCGAATACCGCTGCGTCGCTAGATATGAATGCACCGGACGTCTTATCCTTTAGGCCACGACAACTTCACTACATGTAAAATTTACTTTGGCGGACTTAATACCTAAGGCATTATCTACCCGTCAACCAAAGGTAGTGCAGATTAAATAATGGTAGGTATATAGAAAAAACATAAACTTCACTTAGTTAAAACGTGTTCGTTAAACAGCCAATAAATAATAAAGCCCTCTATCTCAATGATGTAACTTTAAAAGCTTTCAACAGTATCTGCTCTAGAATATAAGAACGATTCTGCAGGAAACTTTCGAACGATCAGTCCCGTTCAGAGAAACGATCTATTAGGAGCTTCCAAAGTTCGGTTTTAAACGATAATGCGCTGTCATACATCTGGCGAAGTGCGAGAAATATGTCTTGGTCAAAAAAAATTCTTGCCTTTAGACATGTTTATGATTTGAACAGTAATAGGCAAGGCATTCGGAAGAAAGCCCAGAAGCACAAGTCCAATATGCTGGTCGGACCAGAGACGCCATACTTTCAACATTTCAGTCCACGTTTGCTATCCACATAGCCCAGGATAGGCTTCTGGCGCAGGATAATCCAGGAGAAAGTTATTAGAGAAGGCCAAGTCCCTCAGAACTGAGGATTATCGACGCAAGGAAAATGATTTGAACACGTGCCCTTAATTTTAATGTTAAACTATCGTTGTGTCAATATTTATAAATTTCGGTAATTACTGGTGGTAGGCATGGCCGTATTTGCCCTGGAACCAATAGGGATGTGGACCGGGGCGGCTCACTGCGAATGGCGGCGCAAATTACGCCACTCCCCACTCAGGCTTGTTTAGAATTTATCAAATAATTAACAGAACCCGATTGGTTGTTAGATTGATAGAACTTCGTATTTTAATTCATTAAAATAGAGGGCCGTTGTAACTATACTGGGTTTGAAGGGTGGGGCAGCCGTTGTACTGTAAAACTGAGACCTTAGAACTCATATCTTAAGGTAGTTGTAGGCATATACGTTGTATGTCTATGGGCTTCGGTAACACCAGATGGGCCGTAAGCTCATCTACCCACCTAAGCAATAAAAAGATAAAAAAATAAAGCAATAGTTTCTCAAGTAAAACGTAATACCATTATGGTACACACCTACACAAAAATATCATAGCTTTGTCATAGCTAGTCGTTTTCAGAACAACAGTGCCCTGTCAAACTTCAACATAATGTCGACAGTTTAGAAACACAGGGGATTTGATTGTTCCCGATTCAACATTTGAGAGTTTTCCACACACGACAGCCGAACTTTGATTTTCGTAAGTTTATTATGATGACATCAATAAAATTCGAACCATCTATTTTTTTTTAAATCATCACGCCAAGTATAAAAGGTATAGGGTACCTACTAATTAATCGTTATAATTAAAAGTAATTTTACGATTTAATCTCGCTTTTATTATTATCACTACATTAATTGAGACTTTTCGAATAGTTTACAGTTTACGTGGTCGAAGATAACTGTTGTTATTTTTTTTAATTTTTTTTATGTCCCTTGCAGACAGACGAGCATACGACCCACCTGATGGTGAGTGATTACCGTCGCCCATGGACTTCAGCAATGCCAGGGGCAGAGCCAAGCCGCTGCCTACCCAAAATTATTCTGTATTTAATTATTGTGTCGAACAAAGGAGGTATCAATAATTATGCTGACGATTAAGGCGAAAACCGAAATACTATACTTCATTAATATTATTTACAACGTTCACAAATCTTTATGTTAGGTGGTAGCAATTGTACCGAATTTCTCAATGAGAAACCACAAACGTTATTACGTATAAATTATCTGTGTGCTTAGTGCGAGTTTTTTAACGCTCTCGATAGCGTAAAAGTTAAGTCAAAAAAATTTTTTTTTATTGCTTAGGTGGCTGGATTAGCTCACAGCCCACCCGGTGTTAAGTGGTTACTGGAGCCCATAGAAATCCACAACGTAAATGCACCAGACACCTTGAGATAAGTTCTAAGGTCTCAAATAGGCAGGGTGGTGGTACCTACCCGCCCGGACTCACAAGAGGTCCTACCACCAGTAAAAATAACTAATTAAATAAATTTAATAAATAAATATCTATATGAAGTTGGAACGTTTGTCTATGTTTGCCGCTACGGGCACTGTTCCAGCCGCATACAAATTTAAGTTAACTTTTACGCTATCGAAAACGTTAAAAAACTCGCACTAAGCACACAGATCACTAAACGTCGTCCGTCACCTTCGCTCTAGTTTCGTACATTAAACGTAAAAGTTTCCAAAACACGATCGAAAGTTACGAGAAAACGATGTAAGCTCGCGGAGACACTTTTGACATTCGTAACAAGCAGATTCTTACTAACTTAGTCGCCATCAAATATTAATGACTTAAATAATGGCATCGAAGGCGTTATAACATTACTAGCGCGGGCTGTTATCTTCACTCATTAACTTTGATACGTTTCGAAACACTCAGTACGCTTAGTGCGAGCTTTTTAACGTTCTCGATAGCGTAAAAGTTAACTCATATTTGTATGGAGTTGGAACAGTTTCCCTTCGTTTGCCGCTAGGGTCGCTGTTCCAACTCCATACAAATTTGAGATTATTTTTTTTTCAAACTTTTACCGTACGCGGTAACGGTTGTTACTCTTGAAATCGACATGGACATCAATGCCACTTGTCCTTAACTGATGAGGAATTTCATAAATAACTCGCCGCTCGAAGCGTATTCAAAATGACATATAGAAATTTTGAGTTAGCGAAGTAGTAGTTGCGATTTTCAATTTCCCCCCACTTACTGTAAGGCTGGGGTCGTCCACCTGTGTACTGCGGTGACTGCAGAAGCGGGGCGCTCCTCTGTACCGGCTGCAAGTCCTCGGATACTGTTGACAATTAAAAAAAAACATTATTTCCTCTCAATGACATTGCTGCACTTCCTAAATGCCTTATTATCTTTCTTTTTTTCTACCTAAGCCTTGAGAGGCTATTTCAGCGTAACATTAACTAGTAGGTGAGCTCACGGGGCTCAAGCCGGAGTGATGCTAACACTGACCCTAGCAAGAGCAGTGCTTCGCAGAATCTACCACCGGATCGGAAACGCGACCCACTGAGAAGATCCGGCTAGAAACTCAGTGGGCGCCTTATCATCGTACTTTTGTTATCGACACAATAATCTGCCAACATTTCACTTATTAAGTAACGCAAAACGAATGTGCATCGCAATTATGATAATTATCGAAATCTCATGGTTGATACAAATCACCCAAATTTAATACCGTAAAATTATTTGTCTCTCTACTGATACGCAGTTTAACGACACGGATGCGTCTTATTTTAAAAGGATTTATTTCATTCAATAGTAAATAATTGATGATATTTATTTATATATATTTTATATGTATAATATATTTGTGTATATCGACACTTGAAAGGCAAACGTGACTAAGCGACAACAACTGCTTTGTACATAAATGATAGGCAATAACCATATTCGATGCGCAAAAAAATGTATTTCTAGGTCTATTAAAATCATTTCAATCCTACAGCTAGATTCGTTAAAATATTTTTGTTTTCAGGTATTTCAACTTTAAATTAGTCTACTGTAAAGTTCACGCATTGTCGCTTAGTCACGTTTGCCTTTCAAGCGTCGATATGTATTTATTTAAGGACGAGTATGTGTATCTATAAATATTATTTATGTTATATATATATACATATGTTTAAGTACCTAATATGACTAGAACACTACAGCTACCAAGGTTCATCTCTGCACTCCCCTAAGGTAGACTGTCACAGAATGCCTATAGCATTAAGCCCGCCTTTATACTGTCAAGTATATAAAGTTATAAATAAATAAATAAATAGCAGGGAGTGATCCCACTGTGTCGTGATTTGAATTTCATAATGGGATCAAAATACAAATAGCAAAAACCGCTCGTCCGCGTATGACTTAAACAATGAAAGAACAACATTATTTTATGAACATAAATATAAGAGAGGAGTTCTAATAATTCAAGCAATTCCCGGAACCCATTATAATATTGGACCGTGGGTGTTGTCACCTTTTGAATATATGTATGTATATATATTAAACGTGTTTTAGTATGTAATGTAATTAATATGTACTAGCTATACCCGTCCGCTACGCTGGGCATTTAAATTATCATTATTATTTCTCACCCCCACAAAGATTCTCATCATCAACGCCCCCGCAACTGGTGTATGGAATCCAACACTCATATAAATATTAGCCTATCCATTAAGTACATGTATTTTCTATATGGATACCAAGTTTCAAGTCAATCGGATGCATGGTTCAGTAGTTATAAAGGAACATCCGTAAAAACCACTGTAGATTTATATATTAGATTATTTTCTTTTTAACTTTAACTTATTTTCAAGAAGTTTAGCTTATTTTCAATGTTAAATGTTTGTGATGTGGCAGTGCTTTTTTAAATAAATAAATAAATATTAGTATAGATATATCTCTGGTTCCCATGTGACAAAGAATAAGAATTTAGCGCCAAATGACCGTGTGTGATACATACCGAAATTTTAATTTATTTTAATTACAAATCATTATTTATGATTAATTACTGCCTTAATTTGGATGTTTTTTTTTTCATCTGAATTTGAGACTAAAATTATTCACGTCCCGACATAGCGTAAGGATATTTATTACTTTACACCCTGTAACGGACATAATTATTATATGCGCAATTAATTAATTTTATTTTTATTTTTTATTTGTTGCTTTGATGGGTGGACGAGCTCACAGCCCACTTGGTTTTAAGTGGTTACTGGAGCCCATAGACATCGATAACGTAAGTGCGCCACCCACCTTGAGATATAAGTTCTAAGGTCTCAAGTATAATTACAACTGCTTCCCCACCCTTCAAACCGAAACGCATTACTGTTTCACGGCAGAAATAGGCAGGGTGGTGGTACCTACCCGTGTGGACTCAAAAATAGTCAAATTTAATCATAATCGACTTACAGATGAGATATATTAGTTGCGTTCAGACCAATTAAAGAACATCAGGCGCTGTTCTATTTCTTCTTTATAAATTAATAATTGTAACTTAATAATTAAGATATTCATTTTCCATTTTTCCATCGCTTCTAAACTATCAGCACGCATCTATTGAATCAAACTATTATCGAAACGTATAAGCGCGGTCAGTGTTTCTCAAACTTTTTTTAATTCGTTAATTTGTCGAAGCAAATATAGGGAATAAATAATATGGACATTAATTTTAACTATTCACTTACGAACAGCGGCGTACTTTATTAATACGCTTTTATTAGCTTCAGACGTAAGTATGTTAGTATGTAACGGAATCTATGAACATGATTTTGACCCCCTTTAAAACGTCGGATTAATTCAAAATTTGGTATACTTATTAAGGACCGATGACAATTCAATATTAAAAAAAATCTTAAAAAATAAATAATTGAAAAAATTGAAATTCAATATTCAAAAAAAAGCGTAGGGTGCTTTTCGGGTTATCATCAAAATAACCCTTCTACTCATATCACTTTTTTTTCAATAAAATAATTTTTTCTTACACTATTTTTAATTCAAATTTATTAAAACTTGTTTTCGATTTTTTTAGTTGGATTTTCTATAAAAGCGTATTTTGTAAAAATTTTAAAAAATATCATTCATTTTTCAAGTCGAGCTGTATTTGTCCGAAACCTGGTTTATTCGGTACATTTTATAGGTGGCAACATCAGTATCGAAATAATCTCGAAATTCTTAGCATCGCGTTGCCACTTTAGGCCAAGTCATTACGAGACAATAATATTCGCTTACCCACGAATTTTGAAGTTATACTTCTTTAGGCGCGTTATGAAAAATTGATGAGAGTGAAATTTTACGATGCGCGCGCACCGTGACACAAAATTAACAGAATGAACTTGCCCACTAAGTCGCTCATTACAATACGACCGACGTAACAGCCTGGCCACGGGACATTCGCCGATGCGAATATTCGCGCGGTGCGAACGGCGAAGCGTCTAGCGACTAAAACAAGCGCATAGAAATGTACCTAACAAGCCACGCGCACCGGCGACCGGCGAAGCGACCGGCGAAATGTACCGAGCGAATCGCGCGATGCGGCGGGCGAACAAAACAAATGCATGAATACGGACGGCGCGAGCCACGGAGTCGAGCGGTAGTCGCGGCGAATAGTGCAGTGATTAAATGAGTTTAGTTGTTTTCGCCGCGAAAAATTAACGCCGAAATTTTTATATTTTTTATTTATTTTTTATTTTATATTTTTAAAGTCGTCGTGGCCTAACGGACGTCCGGTGCAATCGTGTTGAGCGATGCACCGGTGTTCGAATATCAGGCGGGTACCAATTTTTGTAATGAAATACGTACTCAACAACACTCAACGTTCACGATTGATTTCCACGGTGAAGGAATAACATCGTGTGATAAAAATGAAATCTTCAAAATAATAATTTGCGTAATTACTGGTGGTAGGACCTCTTGTGAGTCTACACGGGTGGGTACTACCACCCTGCCTATTTCTGCCGTGAAGTAGTAATGCGTTTCGGTTTGAAGGGTGAGGCAGCCATTATAACTATACTTGAGACCTTAGAACTTATATCTCAAGGTGGGTGGCGCATTTACGTTGTGGATGTCTATGGGCTCCAGTAACCACTTAACACAAGGTGGGCTGTGAGCTCGTCCACCCATCTAAGCAATAAAAAAATAAAATAGCTGAAATACTAGCTAGACCAGCTATTTGGAAGTCTAGCCACCCAAAGTATTTCTCGTACTTCTTGTGGAATTCTCCATCTATAGGTATACTCCGATTCTTATTCAAATCATGTACTTCACAATCTTTTCCAAATAATAGGTCCTGAACCAAAAAACTATTAATTTGTAAGCAATATCGAGATAATTTCGATATAGACATTTCGCTGTCGGACTTCCTTACTAGTCGCGGCGGCGAACGTGAGTACCCGTGGCCTGCAAACGGTGCTGCGCGAATGGTCGCCTCGCCCACCGCTTCGCTGTTCGCACCGCCGATCCCCGTGGCCAGGCCGTAACTTGGCGAGTTTGAATACAGCCGCAGGTGAACTTTCCGAACCGTACCGAGAATTACCGAATTTATACGATGTCAAGAAAAGGGATGTCCAATATGCGTGTTTGAGGATGTTGTTTAATCGATTTTTTTTCAAATTGATAAAAATATAAATTAATAAAAATAAAGTATAACTTCTTACGGGCGTACATAAGTACTCGCACCTTTTTTTTTAAATTCAAAACCTTCCCATCTATATTTCATATTCACCAATAAATCTACTTCGACAATATTTCGTGTACTTAATTGGTACATCGATACCAATCGTGTAAGTCCTGAATTAATTACGAGCCAATTAGTATGACACGGGCAATCTGATCGATCCATCATGTAACATAAAGGGTGGTGTTTTTTTTTTTTTTTAAACAAATATTTATCGAAACAATATTGCGATTCGATTTTGGTTCTATTAATTCTCCACAAAGAAATGCTCTACCGGTCTTAATTGCTTTTTATTTTTCTTTTTTTAAGGTTCACAGAACTACGTTTAACTATAAATGATTCAGTGGTCACGTAATGGATAATTTCCATTATGTCAGATTCGAACACGACTGAATATAAATGTATTTACCACAATTTCAATACTTATATATATTGTATTAGCAACATTCCTCATTGAATTAAATAATATAAATAAACAAATGTTGGCAGATTTCATATTCACAGCGTAAGACTGATTAATTCACAGTAAGTAATCGTCTTAAATCGTTCTAGTACTCTACTGTTTCCATGTTCTGATTTGAAGGTAAGGCTAATCCAGTACAACGGCGATCCCCAAGGCATTT